CAGTGCCAGCATCCCATATGGACAGCCGTTCAAGTCCCAACTGCTCCACTTCTGATCCACCTCTCTGCTAATGGCCTGGGAAAGCAGAAGATGGCCTAAGTCCTTGGGTCCCTGTACCCACATCGGAGACAAAGAAGCTGCTCCTGGCTCCTGGCTTTAGATTGGCCCAGCTCCAGCCATTGTGGCCATTTGGAGAGTGAACCAGCAGATGGAAGACCTTTCTCTCTTTTTCTCCCTCTTTCTTTCTGTAACTCTACCTCTCAAATAAATAAATCAAACCTTTAAAAAAAGGATTGGCATAAAATTTAGTATATGGAAGATGTAGCCATCAGAATTCATGTGGTCTCAGACAAGGAGCATTAACATCTTGGAAGCTAGCCTGATCCTCCCCTCATTGATTATAAATAAAAATGCTTTTTGTTTCTTTTTAAAAACACTAAATCATCTTAAACCCCAAGCCATATCAGGATCCTACTGACAGTAAGTTGTTAGCTATGGATAAAGAAAAGTGGTGTGCTAGTAGTGGATGTGCTAATATATGTTCAAAAATCAACTTCCAGAAGTATAATGTGAATGTGTGAAACTGTGTGCACATGTATGAGTGTGCAGGTAGTGAATTTTACTAATATAAAAGTATGTGTATCACATATATGATATTTGAACATATCTTAAATACTAAGATATTTCAAATAACCATAGAAAATTAAATTAAAAGATAATTTCATTTTGATGGAAAAATTTTTGAAACTGTATGCATTTCTCCATTGTGAATTTAATATAGTAGCCAGTTGATTCTCATAGAATGCTTTTATCGAGCTTTTCCAAAATCTTGCATCAGTGGCCAATTTATGGTTGCAACTGGCAAGGGAGCTTAGTTCTATCATCCAAGTAGATGAATATTATCATGTATGCTAATGACTAAGACAAAAGTGAAATGTGGAGATGATTTCACTGACTTGTCAGTGGTGTGGATAACTCCTTTTCTAAACTACACAATAGTTTTTGATGACCAAGAAAAAAATTCTGTGCAATTTACATTTTAACAGCTACAAATACTATATAATTTTTAGTTTAAATCATATTATTAGCATTTTTTCCATCAATTTTTTAAGTCTAGAGACAATCAACAAAACCAATACATCAAGTCCTGCTTAGCAGCATTTGCTGATTTCTATGGTGTAAATATTACCATCATGGTCCACTTTAAATTACCAGGGTGAAATCACTGGGAAGAGATACAGGAGCATCCCATTTTAGAGCAACCCCACTGTACAGGCACAATAAATGGAATTAACCTCTAAAGCACAGAGTAAAGCATAGCAAAATGAATAGAAAGCAATGGATTTTGTCTGTCTTTAATATAATTATTCAGCTGTTATGTTTATGTTTTTTTATTTTCAGCAGCAACCAGCTTGCAAAGTCCCTGGTAACAATTGGCTTTGTGAGTAGATAAGACCTGGCTCTAACACACCACTGGGAAATGAAAAATTCCCAACTCTGAAGTATCTCCATAAATTTCAGCTATTTATTACACTGTTGCTAGCGCAACTAAAGCTGGCAGTGTCACTGGGTCTATTTTCTAGCCTATGATAGACGACTAAGGTGACTTAAGTTTATCTCAGTTTTACACAGGGATATGAGAATCTAGCTGCAAATACAATGGAGAGTAAGATTCTAGTTTAATGAAGTACCAATATTGCTGTTCTATAATTCCTTAGAAATTCATTCTAAGGCATTTTATTATTTAAGATATTAAGTAGTTAAACCACAATATACAGAAGTTTGTAATCTTGTGTAAACCTACAAGTTAAGAATAAAAAATTTAAGTCAGGTGTTTGGCCTAGTGATTAACAGAGCATTTGAAACACCCAACTCCCACATTGGAGTGCGTGGGTTCAATACCAGACTGGCTCCTGACTCAGCCTGCATGCCAACACAGACCCTGGGAGGCAGCGGCAAGGGCTCAAGTGACTGGGGTGCTGTCACCCACATGGAAGACCTGGACTGAGTTTCCGGCTCCTGGCTTCAGCCCAGCCCACAATTCTGGCCATTGCAGACATTTGGGGAGTGAGTCATTAGATGGTATATCTCTCTCTCTTCCTTTCTCTACCTTCTCTCTGTCTCTGTCTCTCTCTCTCTCTCACACACACACACACACAATCTACATAAATAATAAATTGCATTTTAGAAAAAGAACGGTACCCCCAGAGAGCCACACACTTACAATCTGAACAATTTATAATAATGTACCATGGAGGCACATGAAAATCGTTGCTTAGGATCCTTCAAAGCCACGTCTTGCCTCTGGATATTTAATAGGAGTTAGGTAACACCAAGGCCAATAATCACATGTTTAGAAGGGTCTAATCCTATTCCATGCTTCAGGGTGTAAGTTGATCTGGCAAAGGGCAGGGAAAGAACTGCCTGCCCTTCCTATTTGTTTTCTGCCCAGCGTGTAACATGTCACAGGTGAAAAGGTCAGTGACAAAGGCAATCTCAACTTTCCTCTGCAGCACAGAGATCTACTGATAGGCTAACAGCCTGAATGACCGGTGACATCCATTCATCAGGTGCACCTTACATCCAAATACTTGCTCCTAAAACACTAGGCATGCCCTCCAAGAACCGTCTGTTCCTAATTTCTGCCCTGCCTATAGTTCCATGAAAAATCATATTCACTTTACTGGTAGAAGGCATCCTCATTGCCATATTTGTTCCTCTTCTCTTTTTAAATATAAGAATACTTCAAAAGTTCATCAAAAAATGGGGCTAAAAGGTTTATGTTTGTGAAAAAAATTTTACAACCATCCATTTTTCATCATATGCATTTTTCCATGTAATTTTTGAAGACCCACTGTATAGCAATATTGGAAAATAATACAACTCTTTATTTTATCATCCCAATCCCATGATTTTTAAAAAAATCTCTAAATCTTAGAATTTCATTTTATATGAGAAAAAGTTTTTGTTTTTGTTTTTGTTTTTGACAGGCAGAGTTAGACAGCGAGAGAGAGACAGAGAGAAAGGTCTTCCTGTTGGCTCACCCACCAAATGGCTGCTATGGCCGGCGCTCTGCGGCTGGCGTGCTGTGCCAATCCGAAGCAAGGAGCCAGGTGCCAGGTGCTTCCTCCTGGTCTCCCATGTGGGTGCAGGGCCCAAGCACTTGGGTCATCCTTCACTGCCTTCCCGGGCCACAGCAGAGAGCTGGACTGGAAGAGGAGCAACTGGGACAGAATCCCATGCCCCAACTGGGACTAGAACCCGGGGTGCTGGCACCACAGGTGGAGAATTAGCCTAGTGAGCTGTGGCGCCAGCCAGAGAAAGAGGTTTTTAAAATAAAATATAAAAGAGTGTCTTCCACCTTCATGGCCATAGTTTCAAAAATATGGATTATTAATTAATATTAAATGTTTGTGGGGCTGGCAATGTAGCATAGCGAGTAAAGCGTCTGCCTGCAGTGCTAGCATCCCATATGGGTGCCGTTTTGAGTCCTGGCTGCTCCACTTCTGATCCAGCTCTCTGCTGTGGCCTGGGAAAGCAGTGGAAGATGGCCCATGTCCTTAGGCCCCTGCACCTATATGGAAGACCCAGAAGAAGCTCCTGGCTCCTGACTTCAGATTGGCCCAGCTCCAGCCATTGCAATCATCTGGAGAGTGAACAAGCGGATGAAAGGCCTCTCTCTCTCTCTCTCTGTCTCTGTGTAACTCTGCCTTTCAAATAAATAAATAATAATCTTAAAAAAAAAAGTTTGTGACATCAGTTATAACAAACTGTTCACCCATTAAACAACCTCTCTTCAAAAATACAATGAAATTTTTTATAAAACCAGGTGACATACAATGAACAAAATATTTCCTATCAGCAGGAATACTCCAGATAACAGTAGAACCATTCAATTGTAGTAGGAACTTTTTAGATTAGATTCTTTTTGGTAAATGTGTTTTATAAGGAATGTTTTAATTATTTGTTTATAACCAGTTTTGCTTTTAAAATGTACCAGAGAAAGTCTGTTAATGGAAAGCTCTCCTCCACTCAGCCATTAACTTTGAGTCAGAAAACCCCACTCCCAGACACAGAATGGCTGAGTTGGAATTCAGTTTATACAATTCACTTAATCCACCTTTTCCATGACAACATTTTTATGTCATTTTGAAAGTGCAACTGAGGACAATGAGTTATAATCTCCCTTATCTACTCATTTCTTTTAATACTAAGAACAACTAGGAGTTGGGTGGGTGTCGAGACCTATTTCTAGCAGCCCGGTGCTTAGGAAATCTTTCCACTAGACCTTCATTTTTCGTAATTGTTGGGGACTGACATCACCCTTGTCCATTTGTACCCAATCATGAAATTTATTTCGAAACCAAGGCAATAATGCAGAAGACAGATAAGACAGATGCTTTATAGAGAGAGAGACACTAGTAAATGCAATAAAGTATAAATAGGATACTTTTCCATCTCTACTGTTATATAATATGGTTAATACTCCATCCTGAGTCATTGTTCTCCTATCTACTACTACCATATTAAAAGAGAAGATTTTTTAAGTACTAAAAGTAATATTCAGTCTTACCTTGATGAAATGAACATTTATAAGTTGGATACCATCTCATATACCAAGCAAATACTTAATGATAGGAGATTACAAAGCATCTATCATTTCTGGCAAACCACTACATGGAGAATATATTCCCTGATGTACTCAATAATCAACAAACGGCTGATCCATCTGAAATATCAAGTTGTTTCATCACAGAGTTATTGCCAAACCATCTCGGCCAGGGAGAACAGGCAACACGTCACTAACAGTCCACAATAACTGCTCCTTGCAGCAACACTGCAAACCTGCCCCATTGGAGGAAAGGGGTCATTATGAAATGGCTGTGATACGTGATCCTGAGAAAGGAAGAATTATGCAGAGGGATTTAAGAAAAAGCAAAAGACATGGAGTAAAGGTGAGACAGAAAACAGAAACCAGATGACAGATGCCCCTGCATTACCATTATCAGGGCTGGTAAACATCCTACTTGCACTGGAGACAGTCTTCCCAATGTCAGCCAGGGAGCGAAGGTTGGATTTCTTGGTTTGATGCCGATGCTTCCGCAGCAAAGTATAGGTCACCTTATCCTTCAGGTCAGGCTTCAACAGGCCTGTCTCGATCTGATGGTCAACAATCATCTCTGATACAAAAGCAAAGCAAAACACAAAATTCAGTCACAAATCACAGCGTTACTATTCCTGGTCTAAATGTATGGATGTCATCCTCAATTTTCGTACCAATATATTACTTTCAAGTTTCCAACTGCCCACTTTATGTAGGATAAAGACACAAGGTATGGAGATATGGACATTAACGAGAGAGCTGTAAATATTTCAGTATTAATTGAATGTTTGGAAGCAGAATTGTTCATTTTTTTCAATCCATAGTTACAGTGAATTCACATACATCACATTCTTTTGAGTCATACAGTATATCAGTAATTTATATTTTTTCAACTTAAAAAATATTCAAGGGCTGGCACTCTGGCATAGCAGGTAAAGTCGCTGCCTACAGTGCTGGCATCCCATTTGGGTGCCAGCTGAGACCCAGCTGCTCCACTTTCGATCCAGCTCTCTGCTATGGCCTGGGAGGGCAGCAGAAGATGGCCCAAGTCCTTGGGCCCTGCACCCACATAGGAGACCCAGAAGAAGCTCCTGGTTCCTGGCTTCAGATTAGCCCAGCTCCGGCCATTGTGGCCATTTGGGTAGTGAACCAGTGGATGGAAGACCTCTTTCTCTCTCTGCCTCTGCCTCTCTGTAACTCTGCCTTTCAAATAAATACATAAATCTTTTTAAAAAATTCAAAATTTTCATGTACTCTATCATGCCAAATGTCTCATCAGATGCATAAATTACATCCACAAATTAGAGAACATTTACAAAATATAAAATAATGGGATTACTGACTATTTAACACATTTTTCTGTGTTATTATATTTCTTTAAAATAGAACACAATAAAGGAAAGCAATACCTTTCCAAATATAAAGTCATCCGAATACCAATTAATCTGATAAAAGACAGGGTAAACTACAAAATTACACTTTAGTTCTTTTTTTCCTCTTCAATAGAGATTTATTCCACATGTAAAGAAACTAATTTATTGGAAGATCCAAACAATCAACCTTTTTCCAATAAATTTCCATTGGCTACCTGATGAGAATTTTCTATGAAATTTTTGTATCTTAGTCTTACTAAAGAAAATCTAGTTTACAATTACCTGCATTTAAGCAGAGTTTTAACTTAAAAAAAAAATGGCTGTGTTGGACAGAAATCATCCCCTGAGTCCTACCAGAGGACAAGCCCTTTACTCCAGTGAAAAACAAGAAATCCTCTTTCTCACAGCAATGCAGCATCAACATGGCCTGAGACATCCCTCATTAACAACAGGACAGGCCAACATCCCACCTAGAATGGGACTGAGGGCAAACACCACAGAATCTAGCCAAGAAGCTGACTTGCCATGTGTAACATTTTTGTCCTCTGCAGAGAGTCTGTCTACATTTTCTGGTGCACGGATGCATACAGCACACATCTACATTTCTCTCCACTTGTGTGCTACAAGTGAAGAGAACTATTCTTTTCCAAAAGTCTGACAAGAAAATCCATGGGTACTGGCTAACAGCATCTCTCAAGGATTCCCACCTCTTTGCAAAGAAAAGCTACAGATGTTCATGGGGCGTTACTTGGGCATCACCATACTTCTCAAAAGCCCATATTCCTAGCAAGCACTCACAGGACTGGTCTCATAACTACAGCCAGACACTCGAGAGTTATACAATCTACAAATATTCGGAAAGCATGCAGGGCTTAAACCCAGGATTTTCTACCGCGTGCCTTACACAGATGCCTTAAAAGTCACATAACATTGGACCACTTGATAGGTAGCCTGAGCAAGGCATGAAGAGTTTCTGCTGTGAATGTGTTGGTTTGACAGTGGCCTTTATTTCTGAGTAGTTTTAACCACACAAATCCTACTCAGTAAAACTCAAAACCAACCCTGCAACAAGGCACCTATGGAACCCAACCCCTCTACCCCTTAAGTCTTATTCAACATGGAAAATCAATTTGACAGATGAATCATAAAAACAAACAAACAGCCCCAACATATCTGCTACAAGTATTATCAAATTGCTACTCGAATTCCAGGTTGTGGATTACAGGGTTTCTTATCTACTCTTCCTGGCAGGGCCTCCCTCAATTCTTGCCCGCCCTTGAAATTTCAAACCAACCCACAAGAATGCACAACCACCCTCTGTTACTAACGGCTGGAAACCACCAGTTAGGATGGGATAAAACATCTGAGTGGCGTATGCCTTTCATGAAGTTTCCATAAAAATGGCCCACTTCATAGGAATCTCTTTAAGCATTAACTATAAGTTCTTTCACAGCAAAGTTAGGGCTGTGACACGTGACAGCTACATTGAAATTAAGCCTTCAGTGTTCAAAAATCCCACAGATGACACCAACTGGTCAACAAAAATGTGTCAGCTCTAGATGTTAGCAAAGCTGAAAGGAATCTCAGGGAGCACCAAGTTCAACCTCTTGTTACATGGGAAAGAAGAGGATGCACAGACGAGTACCTTGCCCACAGACATACACTCACTAGAGACAGAACTCCCAAATGCAGCCAAGATTTCTGACTCACAATTTAGATCTTTCTCCATGTCACATAACATTTTTCTTTCCTTAAAAAATAAGCTCTAGAGTCTGGCACTGTGGCTTAGTGGGTTAAGCTGTGGCCTGCGGTGCCAGCAGCCCATATGGGAGCCAATTTGTGTCCCAAGCACTCTATTTCCAATCCAGTTCCCTGCTAATGCACTTGGGAAAAGCACCAGAAGAAAGCCCAAGTGTTTGGGCCCCTGAAACACATGTGTGAGACCTGTATGGAGATCCAGGCTCCTGGTCCAGACCTTTCTGTTGCAGCCATCTGGGGACTGAACCAGCAGAAAGAAGAATCTTTGTTTCTAAAAATTTTCCAAAAAATTAGATTTATAGATGTTCTGGGTTTCTGTCTACTATATTTTTTGGAATTACTTATTTGTTGAATCTTTATTTATTTATTTATCTGAGAGTCAAAGAGAAAGAGTTTCTACCCACTGATTCATTCCATAAATTAACACAACTTTCGTGGCCTGGCCAGGCTGAAGCCAGGAACCTAGAACTCTATCTGCCACATGGCAGCAGGGACCCAAATACTTAAGCCATCACCTGCTTCCTCCAAGGAAGCACATTAACAGGAAAGCTGCATCAGAAGAAGGGGAGTCAGGACTAAAACCGTACACTGAGACATGGGATGTGACAGCCTGATCTTTTTTAAAAAATAACTTATTTATTTGAAAGGCAGAGAGGGAGAGAGAGAGAGATTGATTCCATCCGCTGGTTCACTCCCCAACAGCTGACGCTGAACTAGGTTGAAGCCAGGAGAAGAGCCAGGAACCTCATCCAGGTCTCCCAACTGGATACCAGGGACTTAAGCACTTGAACCCTCAGCTTCTGCCTCCTAGGTGAATCAGCAGGGAGCCAGATCAGAAGCAGAGTAGTGAGGACTCAAACCAGGTACTTTAAAGGGGATGCAGGCTTTCCCAAGTGGTGGCTTAACGCCCTGTGCCACAACACCTGTCACTCAAGGGAGGTTCTAAACAGTGCACCAAATGCCTACCACTGGATTATTTTTAAATGAATATTTACTAGTTTTGTGATTAGGAAGGAAGGAAAATTAATGTCACTTCAAATTATAGAAAGTTTAAAAAGCAAGAAACACAGAGGACCCACCTATCTGCTAACTTGCACAGATCAAGAATGCTTCAAACATAAAAATGAAAACTCCAAAAATAGAACTACACTTTACTAATCTATTTCACCTCACGCTGAAATACCTGAAATGCCTTTTAATTTTTTAAACTTAGGAGAGAAGGGAAATTCTCATGGATGGGGCTTCATAGTGAATGACACTTTTAAATGGAGAACTAGAACAAGGACTCTAATACTAGAGCTATTAAAACCATCCAGGAAAACGATGTTTTAGCCTTTGTAATATTTTAAAGATAAATTTTTCTATTAGCATCCAGAAAGGATTCTTCATGAAAAAAATTTTAAAAAGCAAATAGAGGCCGGCGCTGTGGCTCAATAGGCTAATCCTCCACCTAGTGGCGCCGGATTCTGTCCCGGTTGCCCCTCTTCCAGGCCAGCTCTCTGCTGTGGCCCGGGAGTGCAGTGGAGGATGGCCCAAGTCCTTGGGCCCTGCATCCCATGGGAGACCAGGAGAAACACCTGGCTCCTGCCTTCGGATCAGCGCGGTGCACCGGCCGCGGTGGCCATTGGAGGGTGAACCAACGGCAAAGGAAGACCTTTCTCTCTGTCTCTCTCTCTCACTGTCCACTCTGACTGTCAAAAAAAAAAAAAAAAAGGCAAATAGAAGACCCAAGAAGAGTCAGCATTAGGCTGAATGTGCTAAGTTTGAGAAGCAGAACCTGTTTAAGCAGTCACTCACTGCTCACAGTCTCCATGTCTCCCTGTAGCGCGTGCCCCTCACATGCTGCTTGCCCTTGAACCTGCCAGGTGGGAGGCCTCTCAGAGGCAGCACGGCCAAAGGGGCAGCAGGTGGACTGCAAAGAAGCAAGAGGCCATGCTATTGTTTGGTTGATATCACCACACTTGCTATTGTTTATCTTCCCATTTGTCAAAACAAAATAGGTTGTGGGGGGCAGAAGCATCTTGGAACTTGGTTGTGCATAATTCTCAGCTCAGAGCTGATCAGAGGTGAGTCAGGACAAAACAACTGCATTTCATCCTCTGATGGGACAGGATTGATTTTTTTAATAACCAAATAATGAGTACAGCTCTCCAAGTTACTACGGCATTTTCTGTCATGTAACATGAAATAAAGCCTTTCCCCCTGCATGTTTTGCCTTCTGTAAGGTTTTGGTTCCTTCAGAGGATTTAAAGAGTATTTCTTTTTAGCCAATAACATTCTTTTAAAATGCCCTTCTCCCCACGTTTGCAGAGCTGGCCTTTTCCTGCCGTCTCCCTTCGTTTTGTTTTGTTTGTGATGTGTTGTTTGCCTCTGAACTCTTTTCTCTATTATCAGCTCCGGAGTGACAGCCCTGGCTCTCCGCCCGCTTGCCCCCAGGGACCGTGGAGCAAACATATTAGTGAGTGATGATACCTCAAAGTGACCTACTGGTGTCTAATTTTAACATGTAATGACAATTTTTAAACTAAATGCATGGAGGTTAGACACAAAGTTCACAGCCGATATTAAGAAGTAATAGAAATTAAAGCAAAAAATACAAAATGCTTGATTAACCTTTCTTAAATGCTACAACTTCTCTCTTTGGCCCTTCGTTCCAATATAATGCAGGACTCTGTCTTTTGATGCACACAAATGGGCTGATGACCAGAGACTCCTTAAAGATGCTCTTTCCTGTCGCTCCCCCTCTTCATGGAGGAACGACACTAAGCCCTGCCTAGGCTTCATATCCGAGTCACGGCACCATTATGTCTCTCCCCGTCTTCGTAGAGGAGCGACACTGGACCCTGCGCTGTTCTTTTGTCTGCTCGGCCCTCCCTGGGTTTGCTGCTGGTTCTTCCCGGGTTGGCTACTGTCCCTTCCACCTCCGTGGAAGGGCAGTTCCCCCTGGCCACATTCCCCACTTCCGCAGGGGAGCGGCACACCGCCGGCCGGCTCTCTCGGGGGCTGCACAGGTGTTCCTTCAGCTAGATGTTCCTCTTAGATGTTCCTGGTGCATGCCGTCTCTCTCCTCCTTTATAGTCCTCTTCCGCCAATCCCAACTCGGCTGCCCACACGCCGAGTACGCTGCTCTCCTCCAATCAGGAGCAGGTCCTACAGTTTATTGGTTGAACTGGAGGCAGCTGTGTAGAAGCTGTTTCTCCCTTCTCAGCGCCATATTGTGGGAGAGCAGATGCACAGAATAAGTCTTAATTCCAGTAACTTAGTCTAGTCCGAGTTGCTCCCCACACTTTCCTACGCTGAAGATTCCTATGGCAGTTTAGAGAGAAGTTCGAGTGCACAACTCAACGCTAACTTGCACTGCTCGTGTGGATTTCGAGTGCAGACATAGCACAAAGGTGTTCAGCAGCTGCCATCTCCGACCTCCACACCCCCTAGAATCTTTTTCCCGGCTCATGAAGTTGCTGAGCATTTGTCTACCTGACTCTGGGGGTCTGCACGTGCCTGCTGCTAGGTGACAGGTAGGGAGAGTGGGAATAGACATGTAAGTGTGTTACATGACATGTGATGATTTCTCTTCATTCTCCTAGCAACCCTCAAATTCTACCTTTATCCTTTAGATAAGGGAACCAAGGTTGGGAAAGAGTTCAGTGACCTGCCTTCTCAATGGTCAGAGATGCTAATAGAAGGGACTTTAATAAACTTCTCCAACTCCAAATGCAACATTGTTTCTTCTGCACTACTCTGCATCTTGGGGGAGTAATGCAAGGCCCCTTGCAAGCAGCTGCTTCTTACAACACAGGACAAACCAGGACTCAGTGGAATGAATTTCAAAATGGTGGCTTTCCAGGCACTGATGATGACCTATGATAGGGTGGGTTTCCTTTTCAATATGGTCGCCTTCTAGCTACCCCAATTCTCCTCCTATATTGCCTGTACTATGCCTAGTCACAGGTTTCTTTTCCAGTTCCCCCTGCATGTGTGCCTCCTGACCTGATTTTCAACTTGTGCATCATTTCTGACATCCTGTTCAGGTTAGTTCTTAGAAATTACAAATCTCACAGAAAAATTGCACTCCTTTTGTTTGAACCCAACTTTCTTGGATAACGAGCTCTTTTGTAGCTTTTAAAACATGAAAAAGTCAATGGAACACATCATCCAGAGAAAGATGCCTTCTGTTTGCTTCTCTCCATCGTTGTAAATGGGCTCCACCTACCCTGGGTACCAACATCCAAAATCTCTCCTTACAAGTCAGATTTCCATTTTCAGCCTCATGTGTCCTGCCCAATATAAAAATTATACACACAGCAGCATTTCCCCCTCCTAGCTACTTATCTGGATGTGTAGGTTTTGTAACTTTTCCCATTTACAGAAGTAGATTTTCAAACCAATTCCACAGTACGATAGTGCCTGGCAGACTGTGGGTGCTCATGTAACACTGATGAATAAATGCATGAAATAATTATATCTGCCCATCGGGCAGATGAACACATGAGTCCCTCTCCCTTCTACAACTTGTCCCCTAACTACTTCAGACAAATGAAAGGTGTGGGGCTTCTTTGCAAATTTAACTAACGAGTTCTGCAAAGAAGATCCAGGTACATATACAAGTGGCTCAGCCATATACATTCATCACGTGACAGCCAATCTTTTCTTACAAAACAAATGCTGAAATTTTCAGCTGCCTACACAAGTAGAGATGCCACGGACAGACTTTTGTTTGTAGATACACAGAGAAATTTTGCAGCAAACCTGAAATGACACAGGAATGCTTCACTGGCACTTTCTGCAGGCAGGTCCAGCAGTCCCAGGGAACGTGCACTGCAGACCCCTTGGGAAGGTGCAGTCATTCCTACAGACACAGAAGTCACCTAGCTATGAAATTTTCCTAGCAATAGCAAGTAGAACCCCTGGACCTCTCACAAAGGTGAAAAACCTCCAAGCATGCAGGCTTATAAGGCCCATAAAAAATTTTGGTCTGGGCCCTGCCAAGGCAACCGCAGGTGGGACTTGAAATTCAATAAATCTATTGCAGGCTAGTTTTCAAGCTGATAATTTCATATGGCCCATGAATGATGTTACAAATACTCAAATGGCTCTTGGCAGAAAAAAGGTTCCCCCCACCTGCCAGGAAACCATAATCTTCAACATACCTAGAGCTGAAGGCAGCATGGGCCAGGCTCTCGCTAGAAAATGAAAACAGTAAGTCCAGTCTGGAATGCAGTGATGTCACCAAAGCGTCTGGCATGATGAGTTAACATGCAGTGCACATGACATGACTGCAAAGCAAGGCCAAAGCTACCCTGAGCCATGAGGTCCTGTGACTTTGCAGATAGTGACATAATCAATGCTCAGCACCAATGTGACCTGACTTAGTCACTAAACTATAAGGCCTGCTGGCCCCTTGTCCCAAACAACCTTTCTCTACATGCAGCTACCCCAGGAACTAGACCATTATCTAACAAAGGATTTAAATTGTTTTCAGATGACCAAACGGAAGTATAGAGTGCAATGTCTAAAGTCAGAAAGTTCCATAAATCCAGTATCCAGACATCCAGTCTGACATAACCGAGGCTGTGTGGTTGAGGGACACTACTCAAAATTTTGACCCTGGGGCCAGCGTTGTGGCGTAATAGGCTAAGGCTCCATCTGCAGTACAACCATCCCATATGGGCACCAGTTTGTGTCCTGGCTGCTCCTCTTCTGATCAAGCTCTCTGCTTATGGTATGGGAAAGCAGTGGAAGATGGCCCACCCATGTGGGAGACCCCAAAGAAGCTCCTGGCTCCTGGCTTCAGATTGACCCAGCTTCAGCTGTTGTGGCCATTTGGAGAGTGAAACAGCAGATGGAAGACCTTTCCATCTCTCCCTCTGTCTGTAACTCTACCTCTCAAATAAATAAAATCTTTAAAAAGCATGTTGCCCTTATGCTAACAAGTAAAGGAAATGAAAGCCAATCTGTACATATATAACATGATCCTAACTGTAACGGAAAAAACTAACGTAAGAAATGTAAAGAATACAAGAGAAGACAGGACAGGAGCAGGTAATTAGCACAGTGGTTAAGACACCTGTGTCCCACATCAAGGTTGGATTCCCAGTCCTTGCTCCAGTTTCCCACCAAAGCACACCTGGAGACAGCAGTCATGGCTCAAGTAGCTGGGCTCCTGTCACCCATGTGGGAGACCTGGGTTACATCCAGCTCTCAGTTCTGGCCTTGGCCTAGAAGCTGCCTTGTGGGCTTTTGGGCAGTGAACTAGAGGATGAGAACACACACTCTCTCCCTCTTTCTCTGTTAGTGTAGGTGTGCACGCATGCACACGTGTGTAGGTCTGTAGGTGTGTCCGTCTCTGTCTCTTCTTCTGTTTGCCCCTCTGCCTCTCAAATACACAAAAAAACAAAATTAAAAAAACAGAAGACTTGGAAATAAATCTTCAAAGAAATACTCTAAAATTCTGACAATGGCTATGACCAGAGAGTAGTACTACACATGATTTTTAAAAACTTTTTAATATTTCTATTTTCATATTTTCTGCAATAAAGCATAGTTTTGCAATACAAAAAAGAAAACATTAAAATGTTATAGAATATCAAAGGCCACTTTACACACTGTAGTCTGCATTGATGGAGACAAAACAAAAGAGGAACTTGGAGCAGCATACTCACCCACCAGCTGTGGGAGAGAGGTGGCCTCCCGGTCAAGCATGATGGACCCCTTCTCCATACACGTCCTCAGCTCAAAGAGGCTGTGAAGGGACAGTGTGGCCACGTGGGGCTTGCTCCACCTCTCCCCACCCTGCTCCACTTTTTCTTCAAACTTGATCCACCTGTGTAGATGAGATTAATGAAGAGCAATGAGAAATGTTTTAACATACGCTAGCGGCAGCAAAGCTAACCCCACCAACTTCACCCCACCGGCACTTTCAAAACATCACCTTATAGGAGTCACTGTGCACCTACTCCCCATATAGGATCTCTGTCCTTAAATGTGTTGTACTATGCGAATTAACAGTAAAGCTAATACTCAAATAGTACTTTATACTTTGTGTGTCTGTATGGATGCAATCTGTTGAAATCTTTACTTAGTATACACTAAGTTGATCTTCTGTATATAAAAATAATTAAAAATGAATCTTAATGAAGAATGGGATGGGAGAGGGAGTAGGAGATGGGATGGTTTGCGAGTGGGAGGGCAATTATGGGGGGAAAAATGTTATAATCCAAAAGTTGTACTTTCGAAATTTATATTTATTTTTAAAAGATTTATTGATTTATTTATTTTAGAGGCAGTGTTACAGACAGTGAGAGGGAGAGACAGAAACAAAGGTCTTTCATCCGCTGGTCCGCTCCCCAGATGACCGCAATGGATGGAGCTGTGCCGATCCAAAGCCAGGAGCCACAAGCTTCCTCCAGGTCTCCCACGTGGGCGCAGGGGCCCAAGGACTTGGGCCATCTTCCACTGCTATCTCAGGCCATAGCAGAGAGCTGGTTCAGAAGAGGAGCTGCCGGGACTCAAACCAGCACCCATATGGGATGCCTGCACTTCAGGCCAGGGCTTTAACCTACTGCGCCACAGTGCCGGCCCCAAAATTTATATTTATTAAATAAAAGTTTTCTGAAAAAAAAATCTCCTTTTGTGGAGTTGTACCATCCTGTTATATCATTAATTATGCTATCTTCACAAATACACCCAAAGTCACAAAACGACTTGATTCACTAATGTTAGAAAGCACACCAGAACAGCCAAAGCACCCTTGGTTTTATATCTTCCCGTATGAGGTCATGAGCTTCTTCAGAATGAGAACTTATCTAATTTCTTAAAGTTAGTAGGGAAAAATATGCATTTCAAATTTCTCCATATGGATAGGGACTACAGTGTATAAAAACAGCCACTATTGTGAGGATTCTGGTGTGACTTCACAAGGCAGGTTTATATAAGTTGAAATACTAGGTATAAACCAATATATACTTCACATATTTGGAAACTATGATGTATGAAGTTGGTTAGATGAATGTAAAATTTCCCTGTGCTGATGCTGAAAACAGGGCCAGCATATTTTGCCACACCTTATTTCAACACATATTTCTCAGCTGACATGGCTCCCCCTCTTGCTGAGATTCTAATGGAAGCTTTGCCCTTTAAGTCTGCTTCCATGTGTATTCAAAAACACACAAGCTCACTGAACAACAGACACATTCTGAAAATAATACATCTCCTATTAACCTTGGCAATGGAACAAACTGCCCTCTGTCATAGCTTTTACTTTCTAAGACTTCTAGATGCTGTGATACTTAGCAATATATATCCACACACACACACACACACACACACACACACACAAAGGAAGAAGTCTAATGGAAATGAGAGTCAAACACACAGGGCACCTTTTATACTCCAGGCTCTACCCCTATAGACTCTTCCTATCCAGTAAGAGAAAAGCAGGACAGCATCAGTACTTTGCTGTTCATCACGACCCAAACAAAACCACTCCCCTTCCCATCAAAAAGAAGTGAAAGATACTCAGAAAAGATAAAGAGAGGGTTAAAAATTGTTTTCCTACATTCTTCACCCAAAGGATTAATGATTGAAAAATGTTTCCCTAGAAAAAGCTAAACGCTCACCTAACTCACTAAAGAGGAGAACAAAGGGCAGAGATCAGAGGGAGCTCTACATAAGGTATTATTTATAGCCCTCTTACCACCCCCAGAGGAGGCAGAAAAAAAAAGCACATTAGTGGAACCAGAATGAAAACAGATCAAGAGATCAACCACAATGTCAAAGAAAATGTAGACTTTTAATCAAGCCCAACACTCATGTGATTCAGAAGTATTCTGTCAGATCCGAAGACTCTCCCATGCCCCTCCATGCTCTCACAGCCAGGCAGGCCCCATGGGCCAGCCATAGCTTTATTCCCAACTGCAACATCAACTCTAAGACTCTCCTCCTTTCTCCTGTATATCATACCTCAAAAAAATAAAAATAAAAAAGTCCAGTCAGAACAGGCATCAGGCACAGCAGTTAAGACATCAGCATCCCATATTAGAGTGCCTTGGTGCCAGATCCAGCTCTGTTCCCAATTCCAGCTTCTGTCTAACGTGCACTGGGGTGAAGGGTAGGGAGTGATGGCTGGAGTACTTGGGTCCTTGTCACACAGGTAGGAGGTCGGGGCTGAGTTACAAGCTCCTGGGTACAGCTTGGACAAGTGTGTGTGTATATATATATATATATATATACACACATACACACACATGTATGTATACGTATATGTATATATATGTATATATGGGGGGGGCGCCAGCATTGTAGCACACCAGCAGGTTAAGGCCCCACCTATGATGTGCACCCACAGGAGCGCTGCTTCAAGTTCCCACTGCTCTATTTCCAATCCAGCTCACTGCTAATGTGTTTAGGAAAGCAGTAGAACATGGCCCAAGTACTTGGGCCCCTGAACCGGGATAGAGCTCCAGGCTCCTGGTTTTGGCCTAGATCAGTCCTGGCTGTTGCGGCCATTTGGGGAGTGAATCAGCAGATGGTAGATCTTTCTCTCTATAACTCTGCCTTTCAAATAAGTAAATAAATCTTTTATTCAAAAAAAAGGCAGCAGCAACATTGAAGAAGTTTTTTGCTTACTTTTTTGTTTTTAAGATTTATTTATTTGTTTGAAAGGCAGAGTTACAGAGAGGCAGAGGCAGAGAGCCTTCCATCTACTGCTTCACTCCCCAAACAGCTGCAATGGCTGGAGCTGTGCCAATCTAAAGCCAGGAACCTGAAGCCTCTTCTGGGTCTCCCATGTGGGTGTAGAGCCCAAGGACTTGGGCCATCTTCTATTGCTTTCCCAGGCCATAGAAGAGAGCTAGATCAGAAGTAGAGCAGCCAGGACTCGAACCAGTGCCCATATGGATGCCGGCACCACAGGTGGTGGCTTTACCCACTATGCCACAGCACCGGCCTCACCACCAAAGAGGTTTTAGAACTTCACAACTGGATCTAATTTATTTCTACAAAATTGGTTGACACACATCCTGAAAGAGAATGAGAACCTACTACTGTTCTAGCCCATGTGTGATTAAATTAGTATTTCTTCTCTTTGGTGGTTATTAAAGTCAGAGGAATAGAAGGAACTGAGAAAAAAACTAACGATTCTTACAGAATTCTACAAGTATAACCAAAACAATAAAATAAGGTAATTGGGGTTATTTTTAGAATAACCAGTTTGTGGCACATTGGTCATCTTTCTGTACTTGCTCAGAGTCTTTAAGTGTGTGCTGGCAATCAGTATGTGAACTATATTTACATGTGATTTGACAAGATATTGCTCAGATGAGGTTTTAGAAAACAGAAGATTCAATAGAATATGAAATCAGGTCAGGATTACACAACGTTATGTCATCTATAAAAATTCTAGTGAGTCCTTGATTTTTACCAAGAGTTTTTTTCTATTATTATTTTTTATTTGACAGATAGAGTTAGACAGTGAGAGACGGAAACAGAGAGAAAGGTCTTCCTTTCGTTGGTTCATCCCCCCAAATGCCCGCTATGGCCGGAGCTATGCCAATCCGAAGCCAGGAGCCAGGTGCTTCTCTGTTCTCGCATGTGGGTGCAGGGGCCCAAAGACTTGGGTCATCCTCCACTGCCTTCCCGGGCTGCAGCAGAGAGCCTGACTGGGAGAGGAGCAACCAGGACTAGAACCCGGCACCCATATGGGATGCCGGCACTGCAGGCGGAGGATTAACCAAGTGAGCCACGGCACCAGCCCCGAGAGTTTTCTTATTAGCTGGAGGATAGATACTTTGGTCATAGAATTTAAGCCCAAGATGAGTGATAAGCATTAAAAATTCTGTAAAGTGGAGTGTGAAAGAGAGAGAAAGATAGATATACATATATCTTTCACTTCCTTCTTGTTTTTCCAAAAGAGTGCCCCCTTCTAACAGCTGTCATCAGACTATATCACCAAACAAAGCATCATTGTACACAGGATGTGACGGGAGATCTTTCTTGCCATCACCCTTGCTGTGGTCTGAATGCTTGCCACATACTGAAATCCTAACCCCAAAGTGATGACATTAGGAGTGAGGACTTTTGGAGGTGATTACTGTATTCCAAAGGACGCCTCACTTAGCTAGCTAGTCCCTCCCACCATGTGAACATGCAGCCAGGAGGTGCCAACTATGAGAATAAAGGTCTCTTTAGACATTCGATCTGCTGGTGCCTTGATTGTGGCCTTCCCGGCCTCCAGAACCGTGAGACACAAATTTCTGTATCTACCACTGTATCTAGCGAGGCCATGGTGTTTTGTTTTAGGAAGAGCTTAAATATGACATTGAGGGGCCGGTGTTGTGGCATAGCTGATTAAGCCACTGTCTGTGATGCCTGCATCCAATATGGATGCTGGTTTGTGCCTCGCCATGCTCCACTTCTGATACAGCTCCCTGCGAATGTACCTGAGAAAGCAGCAGAAGATGTCCAAAGTTCTTGGGCCCCTGCACTCATGTGGGAGACCTGGAAAAAGCTCCTGGCTCCCAGCTTTGGTCCAGCTCAGGCCTGGCTGATGCAGCCATTTGGGGAGTGAACCAGCAAATGGAAGATTTCTCTCTCTGTCTCTCCCTCTATCTGTGTATCTCTGCTTTTCAAATAAATAAACAAATATTTTTAAAAAATAATAAAAACCATGACTTCAAGTAAGTTTTAAAAGTACATTTAGAAATTATAAATCCCAACTAGGTTGGATTTATTAACATAGCATTACTCAGCAGGCACTGTGGCTCACTTGGCTAATCCTCCGCCGGGAGGAGCAATCCTCCCAGTTGCTCCTCTTCCAGTCCAGCT